GCACCATGTACAGAATATGTTTAATCAACATGCACTGCAGCATCCCAAAGTTGTAAAACAAGAAGAGTAAGTTTAAGTTCTGCTAACAATGATCAGATGTGGCAGACACAAGAGAAGATGACAAGCTCATTTCCTCCACCCACAATCAATATTAAAAATGGAACAATGACCACTGTGGTAAATAAGGCATTTCTCCCATTTTTGCTTGCCAAACTTCTTTGCAGACAGAATGTAAGTGTGGACTGCTGTTATTAGATGTGCACAACCCTGGAAGTATCACATTATTTTAAGTATGTTGGCCAGGGCTAGGAGTTTGACAGAAAGGAAGTACTTGAATGGCTCTGCACTGACCACAGCATATTAGCTGCATGATTTACTTCTGCAGCAACTACTTGCAGTAGCTTAAGTTTCCACAGCAAAGCCAGACTACCTGTGACAAAGGCAAGAACCACACTTACTAACAGAGCAGCCAGTCTTGGCAGAGGACAGAACAGACACAAGCAGTATCTGGAAGGAGGAATTTCCTTTGCTATTGGATCTGGCAAAAAGAAAGAAAAGTCACGAGATGTAGACCCCAGAGTCAGTCAGTGGAACTAACCTGGAAGAAAGCAAGTGAAGAACTCAGCACCAATAGCACTTAGGGGCAGGAGAGACTGCATCACTTCTAAGTACTTAATGTATTATCATGGAGCCAGAAAAGCAATGCAAAGCAAGTAGTCCACCCCAAAAAATTACACAGAAGTACAAGTATCCAACTAAGTTTTCCTATACAAAGTAGAAGACAGGCCTGACCACAGTATTCAGATGCCAACCATAAGTGTAACAGCCAGTCTTCTTCAGGCTACTTTCACAAACATCTGTAGACTTTTTTCCTCCCTATTGCATGATTCTGCACAAATACACAGCTCTTGGTTCAAGGCCAAAGATGACCTTCTACCCAAGACACGTTTGAATAGAAGGAAAGAAAGATTAAGGTCTTAGAACTGTAGTCTTCAAATTTCTAAGGTTCCAGTTACAGTGGGAATAAGACAAAGCTGTTCCCAAAATGGCTTTGTTAACAGAAAACCAGTAAAACTTACTAAAAAAATATAAAAAAATTCTTGACTATTTATCAGCATTGAAAACATTATGGAGTGTGTTACCAATCAGTAAAAGCTATGAAACAGAACAAAGAATTGAGAAAATAAATCTGTGGTTTCAAGTTTACTTTTTTCTTATTTGTTTTAGAAGTGTCCTCCCTTCCCAAGATGAGTTAGTTTTCAATTCTTCCTACCCTTTAATTCATTACTGTTTACCACATGCCCTCAAACTAGGGGAGGAGGAGAGGTGGGTAACAAATGCACAAACCCCATGACACATATAAATCAAATCCAAAGGCCTCTTCTCTTCATTGTATCCAAAAGCATCCAGAGGGATAAGAATGAGAGAGATGAAGATATTGCCACCTCTGGATTACAAGTAGCACCAATTAACACATTTTCACAATAGAAGGATTTTTTTACCAGGGCTTTCTCAAATTACTCTTTCTGAACAATACTATTCAAATTTTAAGCTGCAGTGAAGAGAACATGCAAAACTACCCAAACTAGTGTTTCCAACAAGAAAGGAAAAAGAATTCCCATTATACTGATGCCTTTTCTTTCTTTTGTTTTTTTATAATTAGGCCTAAAGCATTAGCCTTATTTTTTTCATTCGATGACCATCATGGATTTGTCCCTACTGCTATTTCAATTTTAGATATACAGAAGCAATCATGGCAATATATAGATTATTCTTTTTATATTGTTTCTAGGTCCAAATTAGTTGACAGGCACTCCTCTGGACAAAAGCCTCTTTCTGTATTTGTTACACTATGAGGTGATGAGGCTGCTGGCAGGCAGGCTTCTAGCTGGAAAGCACATGATTGTGTCACCACATCTTCTAGTTACCATATTCAAATGACCCATAATAGGTCTCCTGGAAAGACCAAGTAAAGCACAGTTTCAGACATCAAAATAAGATAAATTTGCAGGAATCATGTGCTCAACTATCTTGGGAAAAAGACTTTCTAGAAGAGGAGCAAAGCCTGGTGCTGTAGTGTGAAGAAATAGAAAACCTCAGGCTGAAAAATCATCCCAGTCAAACCAAACACAGATATTCATTTGTGGATAAGTTAGCATACCATGCTCCCTAAAATGCTGGTTTGAGCCTTTCACATTTACTGCAACAGTAGGCAGCAGATTCAACCAACCCAGTCTGCTGAACTGAACTTTCCCAGTATCCGTTACATCTTGGTACTGAATAAAGAAAGGCAAATATATGACAAATTTGCTTACAGAGTTTCACTTTTTTAATACATGCTGTAACTGATTATTTCTTCCCTGTCTGCCCAAATACCTCAGGGCTTCGGTTTGCGTCAGTAATTGCTTGAAACAATTCCTTTCCTTTAATTATTGCAGTAGGCAACCATAAAAAACTGTACAGAACTGACATGGCCATGGGAGACACAAACGTTGTACAAAGAACATTATCCAAAGAACGTTAAAATCATAGTTAAAAATCCTAATCCAGTTAGCATCAGTGATTTCACTCAATAATGTTAAATATCATTCGGATTTAGGAATAACTTCTTCCATCATACCTGTCTACCAAGATATTAGGCTTTAAAAACAATAACAAAAAAAAAAAAGGTCACAGGAGTATTATGCACAGATTTGCTTGCCATTGCACAGTCTAGAAGTTGTGAAATTTAAGATTATCTGAGAGTAAAGCTGTCTGTATTTTGTCTGTATTTGCAATTTGAAATGAGAAAGTACATCCTGACTGTTTAAATTATTCTCAGACAGGTTGCCCAAAAAGATGATTTTAAAGATGCCCAAATGTGTATCAGCCTAAGGCTATATTGTACTTGCTTTCAGTTTCAAAGACCTCCTTTCATCTCTGAAGAATGGAATGTTGTTTACTGCTCAGGATGTTTTGCCATGTTATCATGAATGTATTACAAATGTTCTGCTTCTTGAACTAGAGAGTGTTTGTCAAAACCGTTCTTAATTCTGCGCAAGAAGTCTTAAGCCTTTTATAAATCCTGCTCAGATATATTGCGACACTTAAAAACATCTATATCTAAACATCCTTCTCAAGGATTGCTATCCTGCATAATTCCACAAAATAGAAAAAAGAGGTCTGCAGAGATACGCTTTCCGGTAGCACGAAGCCTAAGAACTAGGCACTGGAATGCGAGCTTGCATGCAAGAAACAAAAATAGTTTCACTGTCAGAATTCGTTTCACCTACTGCCCCTGTAAATCAGTCTAGTGTGACAACCTATATGAGAAGCTGCTTAAAATACAGCAGGTAAATTTGTGACAATGGAATGTTATCAAGGTTTATGGTCAGTTTTAGGCGTGTCATGTCCACATTCTTTTAAAGTGGCAAAGTAAATAATGGCTCACCAGCTTTCAACAGCAACACTGTTATCTGTCTCGCTTTGCCATAATCTCATGAAGCTTTTAATAAAGCAGACATACCACAGATGATGAGAAATAACTGAAAAGTACTTAACAGGCAGACTTGTTAAGTATTCAGAAACAAATCCGGCAATAATTACAGAAAACCACTATGAAGAACAGGAATAGTCACCCAATAGGAGCTTGGGGGAAGATGAAAAAAGAACGGGGAAAACTGTTCCTGTGCTAGACTGATTTTTTCAAGTTTTTCCAGTGGTATTATAAAAAGAAATAGCCATACATTTAGCTTCATGTGAAAGTGCATTAAAAAACTTCAAAGAAGAGAAGAAAAGCTGCTCAAAAGCTGTGAACGCTGCTTTCTGCAGCTTGTTTAGAGATAGATTGCTTCCCTTCACTTGTGGTTAACAGGGAGTATTCAAAGACTTAATTCTGCATCCATGTCAGGGAAAAAATAAGTTAAAAATTCACTGAAACAAATCTATCTCACCGGCTTAGCGAGGCCTCTTGTCACAGTCTAGATGAAGAAAAAACTACAGGACAGATGCCACCACTGTCTCAGTTACACTGCAAATAACTGAGGACAAGGTCCTCCCAGACTCCGCTATGCAAAAATGACAAAGTATTTTCAATCCTACCATCTATGTAAGCTTCCCAGACAACAAGAATGAAAAAGACTTAAGGTTCATCAGAAAGGACAACTTTACTACCACTGCCTCCACAGAAGAGTTACTGTCCAGGCTCCTGCTCATTGTGATTATGTCAGGCCAGCCAGCCTTTCACTTGAGCAATATCAGGGCTTTATGACAAAGCAGCAGAACTGGCAGTAACACTGATTTCTCCAATCTCCAGCAAAGATGATGACCTTTAACAGAAGTAGGCTGTCAGTCTCCTCAGAAAAGACTTCCACAGCCACAAAAGCTTCCCAGGTACTGGGAACAGTTACTCCTCAGCACATTAAGAGATTTGCTCAGAAAAGATTTGTTAAAAGCACTTTCAATATTCAACATGAGCCATGGAAGACTGAAGATCTGGCTCACTGCAGGAAGTGAATGGTCTAGCTTTACTGATTTATTTATTGCTTTTTGGGGAGAACCTAGCCAAGGTAAACTCACAGAATACTTGAGAAGAGTCTCTATGCACTGCGCATAGATAAAAGTCCACAGTCAAATGTCAAATCAAGAGCCATTTCAAAAGCCATCCAAGCTAGGTACTGTGAGGTCAACTGAAGAGCCATGACAATTACCTGCTGTGGAAGGCCACCACAGCTTGGCTACCCCTCCACTATAGAAGTGAATTTCTCTGAGTCATCACTTTATTCAACCCTTTACACACAGTGCTCTTACGCACCGTCATTCCTTTAACACACAATTACACACTCCCATCTAATTTACCAAAAGCAATCCTTTCAAGCACCTAACACACAAACTAGGTTTCTTACAGAATGCAACAAACCATTTTGTGTGAGAGAACTCTCACTTCTTCCAACAGGGAAAGATAAATGTAATTCAGTATGAAGATGTAACACCATGCAAGTCGTTGCAAACCACGTCTGTACCTCGAGCCCAGATCCAACATTTGATGAATCCAATGGCCTTTTCTTCCTTGGTCCAATGGCTGCCAAAGCTGTGAGGTTGGCTTCTCTTTGTTGCATCTGTGCTAATTCCAACTGTTGCATCTAATTTAAAAAGAAAACATCGACATTAATTATGATACACATTATGTAAAGTAGTTTTTTTTTTTTATAGTAGTTTCAGACAGCTCTGTAGCTCCTACAGAAACATGTGCTTCACAGCATCTTTCCCCTCTTTCTGGTCACTTTTGACAAATTCCAGCACTCAGGCATGCTTGGAGCCCTACGTACAGCTATTCTGAATATTCCACTATCACCTGAATCCAGCACTTAATACTGCCATTGTGAAACATTGTACTATCCAATTTAACAGGATGCTGCCAGTTGACTGCTAGTTTTTCTTTTACCAGTATGTATTTGAATGCTCAGGAACATCTGAAGCAAGTTAGAGATACACCACCATGTTTATTTTCACTCACCTCAAAACTGTTGAACACTTAGAAATCATTAGAAACAACCTTCACCTGGGTTAAGTAAACTTGGGATGGGACAGAAACTCACAGTAAAAAGGAATAAAATAAAATAAAATTTAACAAAAAAAACCTCTTGTATTTCAAGATACATTCTATTCAATAATTATCAATGCCAGCTACTCTGGAGCTCAATCCAGCCACGTCTGCTGGCAGACTGACAGTCTTAGATCAGCCATCTTGCTAATACAACCACACTGCTTCCAGATCCACCAGCTGTCCAACTTGGAGCATGGGTGGAGAAGGAAGGCTTTCCAAACATAATCCTCTGGTTTGATGTCAACCCTGGGATGATCTGACCTGCAACTTGTATAGCTCTGTAGCCTGTGTCCTCCCCATTCCCAGGACTTAGAACATTGTTCAGATGGGGATTCTCTGCATGGATGTGCATGTCTTAAAAAAAATTCAAGTACAACCATACCATGGGTAGGAAAGCATCCATATCTCCTCCCCCTTCATAAACACAATGAATTACCTGGATTTCCTCACCCAGTCAACACAGGTATCTTGCTTATCAAGCTTGCAACACTGAGTTTGCTTGCTTTTCAGGTCTCAGAGATCCCATTTGGAGAGAACAACAGCTGATAACAACTGAGCTTGCAGCACCTACATGGTATAGGTCCCCTACTTGCTACCACTTAAATAAAGATGAATCCACAACAAAGAAATACTTTGGGGTTCATGGCGAGCGTTTTGAGGAAGAGAGCTTTTGGCTGGGTGGTTTCTGAGTGGGTGTAGTTACAAGCCTTATTTTACTTCATATAAATGGGCTTTAGTGATGGTGGCAGCTTCACATGAAGCACTGCAGCAGCTAGGCTATTTAAATAAACAGTATTTCAGGGCAAGATTCCTAAAAGAACGATGTTCCCTAGAAGACTCAAACTGATCAAGGTTTTCCAGCAGAAATCAGGGAAAGTAAGATTCTAACAAGTATGTTGTGAAGAGAGTTTCTGGGGGCTTTGTATGTTTCAGTTTTGAAAACAGCACTATTTGCAAGTCATCTTTCATCACCCTATGTAGGCTTGTACTGTAGTAGTACTTCTTCACACAGTAGTACTTCTTCAATGCTAGATACCATCATTCACTTATCACACACATTATTCTTGCTTTTGTGGGCAGTGTACACAACTAAAACCTTATCCATCAAAATTCACTCAATTCAGTCAGCTTGGTTTTTATCCAAATATACAGGATTGCTTTCAGTAATATTTTACAGACTACGAACTTTCAAACTACTACTATTTTGCAATTGTCTGAGGTTAAGTCCAGCCAGCCTACTAGCATAAAATGCTTAAGATAAACATTCCTTTAATCTCATATATAGATTGAATCTTATACCTTTATATTTAGTAACACACTCCAGCCAATCAGATGGGAGAAAGTGAACATTAATAAAAAAAAAATTTGAAACTTTGCAAACTGTGAAAGATTGAGGCTTAGAAACTACTTAAGCAGGAGCAATAAAAAGCTTAGAATAAGCGTTAAATCTCAGCAATAAAATGCTGAGATTTTTTGGCAGAGGCAGGTGCTGACTTCCAGCCTCAGCTGCCCAGGCCTCCAACACGTGGAGCCACCCCTCCCTACAGGCAGCTATGGAACATTCCTGCAGAAGTAAAGCATTCCCTCCTGCCAGCAGTGTAGTTCAGTGATCAACATGATCACATGTACACCAGAGTCTTTTTGCCATGAGAGGGGGCATTGCAACATGCCATGCAGACACCAGCCCTCTGGGGTAAAATTAAACTCCTAAAGGCTCCAGTGAAAAAGAAAACCAGAAGGAGAAAGACAGTTTGCTTTAATTTAGGAACCATTACACTCAAAGTAAAATGACTTTTAAAACCATTAAACTTAAGACAAAGCAAAACAAATCAAAAGCCTTTATTAGTCTGTGTGCTTCCACCCCTGGCAATCACTGGAAAATATATCTCCCTTCTCTCTTAACTCTACAAAACACGCACCAACCAGCTCTACTGCAGTTAGACTTGTCAAAAACGTGTGGCTGCTGAACACCTCTGGCTTGAAGCAACATTGAAATAAGACCCTCTCTCCTTTTTACAGCTGCTATTGATGGGCAGCCATGGTCAAGTGTGAGGACAAAAGGCAGAGCTACGAATTAAATACCAAGAGGGCTTTGGGTTGGCATCAGCATGGAGTGGAGGGGACTGGGCAGGTTAAGGATCTCATGGTGGAGCATGAGGATGATGCTCTGGTTGAGGACTGGGCAGTGCCTTGGCATCATCACCATTTACCCCATGGAATTTGAGCAGACCAAGCGTGCTGCTGGCACAGACACACTGCAGGAGGGAGCAATGCTGCTGGAGGGCAGTGCTGGCAGAGGTAACAAAGGATGACACTTGGGGGATTGTATAAAAAAATATGTGTTTTCTAGAAACAGAACTGATGCATCTTCAACCAGGCAGCTCCCAAGACAATGCTGGAATCACACGTCATTACCAACATCTGCTCTCTCCAATACATTTTCCACCTCCTAGGTAGTCAAAGGATTTTTCAACTCATACAAATCTCACCAGGGGTTTGAAGCAAAAGAAAAAAAAAAAAAAAAAATCACGGTCTTGTTGCGTTCTACATCTCAGGGATTTTTCTGAGAACATAATTAAGACAAATGAATTTATACACTCTATTTCTATAATGGACTCAACAGATCCCCATTAAGCGATATGGGCAGGCATCCAAATTACCCTGCTGAAGCCAGCAAAATCGTCTTTTCATCAAGTTTTGTTCAATTAAAAATTGCAGATTAAGTGTCTAAACATTGTGTGAGCAGTTAAAAAAAAGCACAGGATAAGGAGAAGACAGGCAGATAATGTCAAGGGATACCTGAGGATACTGGCTGGCTAACTACTACCAGATTTTCCTAAACGAGATTAGGAAAGAGCAAGAGGTGACTATGTGGAGCCAAATCTTTCTTTAACGGTTAGTTTTGTAGCACCTAAGTTAGGGAAGAAAGATCACTGCAGTAAAAGATGGTAGAAGTAGTATATACACTTTATTAAGATATAACACAGAGAAGCTGCATGGTTTCCCTTCTAGAGGTCAGTTTTATTAACACTGATGTCTTTGAGTATGATTGGATGCAAAGAGAAAGAACTGTCACACCCAGATGAAATCATACCATCATACTCATCTTGACAACAGATTAATCTTTTTCCTTGAAGACAGAAGTGTGTCATGGCAATTCCAGAGGAGCAAGAGGAAGCTGCACCATACATCAGACCCCCAAACTAACAGGCTGCCCCTCAATCTGACCTGCTTCATCTGCTGAAAGAAGCTGCTCTTCCATCATAACACAAGAACCCAACACATGCTCTATTCAAAACTCATTCCCCAAGAAGGGCATTAAGAGGGGATGGGTTCCAGGCAAGTGGCAAATGAATGCTCATGCTTCTTTCCCCCACTTTCTGATTTCACATATGCTAAGAATTGCAGTACAAAGAGTTCTAAAAACCTGTGTATAAAGATCAAATTGCTATGAAAACGTCTCAGAACTTGTAAAATAGTCTTTGTTGCTGCTGGCCTTTTTAATAATAAAAATAGGGTTTAAAGTCTGGTCTTGCAGCAAGCAGGAATCTCTAGGGTGACACAATAACCATTTTAGTTAATCTGACCTGCAGCAGAAATCAGGAAATAAGGTATGTTTTAAAGTCCTTCCTTATAGTGAAATGGCATTTGCAGCATGGCTGTAATCACACAAAATGAAAGGTTTTAAAATTGACCTCTCTGTTCTTCACTCAATCCTCTGAGAAAAAAATTTCTTTTCCTGCTCACAGAAATTCTCTCACTTATGTCTCATACCCCACATTTCAGAAAATACGCAAAATCTATTTTTACTATTACACCAATGAAATTTTTGAGGCACTTTAATATTAAAAAAATAAATTTCAAGTTGTATAAGACAAGTGCTTCAGCTATGAGATGCTGAAACTTTTACTTAAAGCAATACTGCAGATTGGTTTTAAACTCTTTTGATTGGTTTTAAATTCTTTTGGTTAAGAAGTACGTGATAATATGGTTACCTGCCTTATCAGAGCCTCAAGAATACAAGTTGTGCAAATCTCGAGGCTTTCCCTAAAGTGGAAGAATCCCTTAAACAGAACTGATGAAAAGAATACACTGCTACAAATAAAGTCAACTAATTCACAGCAGCTAATCCATGATGTGTACAGCAGAGGGTGGCTGTATTATCAAAGGGGGGGAGGGGGAAGAGTGTTACCTAGCTGAATTCAAGTTCACCTTAGAAAAGGAGTAAATGAAAGCCTTTGTGTCAGGTCACAAAGTACCCAGCACAGGATTCAAGTAATTAGAATAAGCTTTCATAGAAGACAAAGTACATGAAACATTTGGTCTCCAGAGCCTCAAAAAACAGTTTTGCCAGGGAAGGTTTATCTACAGGTAGAGATGAGATCACCTGTCTCAGCCAGGGCTCACGGAGCAGTAACAGGACTGAGGTTCAAGAAAAGCCAGACAGGCAGCCCTTGTCCAGCAGATGACATGCCAGCATTGTGCTAGCATGAGAAATTCATACCACTGTCTGCTTCTGCACTTCAATATACTAAG